ACAGTATCCCATTACTTTTGATAGATAATGAACGATATTAAAATTAAATCGCATTTAGAGTAGTTGTGCAACACCAATTTTATATACACAATACTGAATAAAGCGAACTGTTAATTGTTGGTGTGACGTTGAATTAATACTACGATTTTACTCTTTCCGTTTGCATTTAGATGGTATATTTGGTCTCTCAAAAAGCCAAATGACTTTATTTTTTCACGGTTGCAGAAGATGAACCATCAAGACCACCAGTTTCAGTAATGACGAGTGACTTATACATTCACAGTCAACAGGGAAACGATTTTGCACTGAAAATGCGTGATTGCTATTATTACTACTTGTTAACATAAAAGTAGTGTATATTCGATGATCACTGATTCTACATCATGTATTTACACATGTATTCATGACACCAGATATAAAGAGGAGTAGTTTGAGTCTTTTTCCAACAGATACTGCTGACAAGTATGTTGAGATTAGCACAGTTTGTGCTACTGACGGTTCATATACGTAAATCAACAAAGGACATGTGTTATTATCACAGATTTGTATTTCCTAATGAATGAAAAATATCTCTTTTTTATTCATTTGAGAATATAAATTTCTAATAATAATATCACATATTTAATGTCCACCTTTTTCAAACCAGATAAAAGTATTAGTTGCTTCCAAAGCCCATGAAGTCTATATTGACTGCAAAATGTGATGAAGCACTTCAGGAATGTATATTTCCATTACTTAATCTTTAGCTACATAAATTATTTCTATAGGAATTCGCATGACTGGATATAGGGACATCAACTGTAATTTTTATACTCTGCAGCAATTACTTCTTACTCCATAGTCTGATGTAACTTAATACTAGTCTACTAGTTTCCTGAAAGTGAAATTTAAACGTATTAGTTAATTAGTTGTCATTTAATGGTCAAATTAGAAGAATAGAGACTGTGATATTAATGAACTTGAGCTTATATGAGCGGTACTTAAGTATAATTTTAAAGATGATTATAATCAGCTTGACTGCCAAAGTGTATTACTGATTATCATATAGTAGTAAACGTTTTCTAAATAATTTGGCGGTACACGGTGAAAACCCTGAAAACTGAAGCAAAATTACACGTAGATTAGTTGGGGTGTGTCAACAATAGTTGATGTCCTTCTAGTTTTACAAAATTATAATGAATACATAGTTAATGTTTTAATAGTCGAATTGTTGCAAGCCAGTCACACTTTTATTACCTCCAAAATACGCATGTATATCAGACCTTTAAAATAACACTTGGCTGATGCGAGAAAAATTGAGGCTACAGTATCACACACGATACAATCCTCAGTATTGATGAATTCACAGATTTTGAGCACACAAGTACAATAGCTTATATGAATGCTACCCGACATTTACAGATATAAGATGATTACATCTACACATACAATAACTTGGACAATTATCATCATTAACACCAAAGTTCTCGTAACCTGTTAATTTTCTGATTAATTACGTATATCACTCTCTTCAATTTAAAAAAAAATAGCAAACCCCTATCTTGCTGTCTTAAATCCCTGGACATAGAAGGATGTGTTAAACGGGTACATGGTAGACTAATTAATCTAAAACTGTATTCTCATATCACATAGCTGTTATTCGATAAAAGTTTCCGTGTGTCATTCAACCTCTGAGCAGATTATCTGTCTATCCTTAAGATAGGAACGAGCCTAATCGGGAGAATGTGGGTACATCTTTTTCATTCCTTTGAGTCCCAACTGGAACATAAGGCGTTAAGCCTTGAAATTTTAGTAGCAGTGCTACTGTCTTTACGCATCAGGGTTGCTATCCCTATGCCAAACCTTTTCCCTTCTCCACGCTTAAACAGGGTGACGTTTAGGAGTGTGTCAGCTGAGAACTGAATCCGGACCTCCTGCGTGGCTGGCAAGAATTTTATCATTAAAGCACCGATGCGATCTTTGTATATACAATAGTTCCTAAAATTTAAAGTCCTATTTTATGTGTGACAGAAAGACATTTTACACTATTCTGATGTTTGTAACCTTATTGACCGAAGGTTGTTTAGTCTGATTTTTATCACCTCACTTAGAAATATATGTTATAATCTAAATCTTATAACAAAAGTGGTGGTAGAAATTTCAGACAGATTTAAAGTAACTTGCTAGCTTAACTGAAAAAATAACACCCCAAACATATCAGCAACACACAGTACCACTCTGTTTAAATTCTTTTGCATTCTGGAAACTATGAGTCTGAAACGGCATACATATTCAGTACTCGTTATTATCCATCTCACGATTAATTTATGTAAAACTTTAATAGGAAGATTAAGGGAATATTAAAATGTTAGATGCATAAGTTCTGATTCTTTAAACCTGTTAAGTCGTAGGATGCCCATTGTACAACAGTCAATACATTGCAGTCGATACAAATATTAAATCTCAGTGCCAGTTTCTGTAGTGTTATTGGTGAGTCAATATTTCTTCGTAATCTAAATTCATTTACTGATCAACTACTAATCAAATTCTCATAGAAAAAAAATACGTATACGAAGTCTCAATTTTTATGATTGAAGGACACTAAAATGAACAAAATCTACAAAACAGGCTGATTAACTTAACTGGTATGTTTTACACTGAAAGAAAAACATGACAAGCACGACAACAGTAATTGTTATCGCCAAAGCAATTGCAGCATAATAATAGTGTAATTAACTGCCTATTTCAGTAATCTACTTATCGCAAAGCCAATTTCTACCATATTGTCTTTTTGACTTTATTACTCTCGCTTAAGCTCTCATTTACCTAACATACTATAATAATTTTTTCTCCAAAATCGCCTGTGATTCTTTGTAGTGTTCAGTGCGTGTACGGTTAACTTACGATAGCTCCTAGGGGTAATAATCCCACTACTAATTTTCCTCCGGTCTGAAAAATCAATCCCCTACTTAGGTGAACTAATGAAAGAAAGACTACTAGACTAACCAGATTAGAATAACTAAAAATATACCGTAAGTTAACAAATAAAGATAAATTAACTTTTATCAACATGTTAGGCAGTAAATATTTGTCGTATGAACAGGCAAGTTCAAGGGCACTCAAAAAGTGAGATAATGGTGTATCAGAGGATTTCATTAGCACAATAACATCTCAGAGTATTTGTGCAAGTAGACATCCCTATTTGTACTGAATAGAACATATGCAACCCAAATGCAATACGTAAGATGCTATGCTAAAAGCCTCACTACAGCAACACTTAAAAATGGGGCAAAGTTAAAATATCATAGCCAAAACCACAGTAACCTTGAACAATCAATCTGAATTCAGACGCAATAAAGTCGCATATTCGTTTAAAAATGCACTAGAGAATATTTGCAAACTTGATATTACACTGCATAGTTGTAGCTTATGTGTTGTAAGAATGTTTCTCAGTCAATGCACAGACAATCTTTAGAGAAATCGTACCATGTGCGATTAGCCATTCATACAGGTGACTGTATGTCATGGTACTCTGAGATCAATTGACATTTCTAACACGGTTCTTCAACCTACTCCTAACCTTAACTGTAATTCTTACTCCTAATCCTAACTTTAACCCTAAACCTTAACCTTATAAGCCGTAACCCTACCTAACAGTATAGATTTGCAGAAAAATTACCTATCAATAATTAGAATACTGTATCTATCCACTCCAGGTCCAAAAATGCAGGCATGATTTCATTTGGAATGATATTTCAAAGCGTTTCCTATGTCTTATCGGTTCTTGAAGGTCAATTTTTAAAAGATTTTGACTTTGGCTATGATACTTTAACTTCACAGACCACATTCTGTACATGTAATGTAGTCGTCCAACCCTAATCTGTCCTTAATCCAACCCCAACGTGGAACTATCCATAAAGTAACTCTAGGCTAATTCAAACCAACCCTAGTATCAACCTCATTAGGTTAGCCTGATCCTAACCTGTTCTTAAGCTAAACCTTAATCTTTCCTAAATCTAACCTGGAACTTGCCAGATATCTCATTTAATAACCCAACACGCCAGTGAGCATATTTTATTTATGATTAGAATATTATTCACAAGGCTTCACTAACTTGCTCTCTGAACATTTCAAGGTTATTCGAGCGGTAAGACTCCATTGGCATTTACTGGTGCTTGCAGTTTAACTTGGCATAAAAACCCATTATATCTCAGTCAACTCTTATACAGTAATAGCACTACTTGCTTTACTCAGACACATCATCAAGTAGAAATGATGGCATGTGGTTTATTAAAAGAGTATTAAGAAAACTGAAACCGCTGAACCACCAACTAGTCAGAATCAGTAAAAGGGAAACATCTATCAAACTTTGTACTTCCCCAAGCTTACAAAATTCTAAACTTATTCTAACCTATTCTTCGATAATGCCTTTTTATGGTAAATGAAGATTTTATGTTCCCACTATGTTCTGAAATAACGCCGGTCGTGCTTAAAAAGAGAGCTGGGTGCTGAATTGTCTTTTCGTTTTGAAGTAACGCTAGTCCGTGCTTAATATGTCCTGTGAGGGCTGGAACAACGCTAATGAGCAAACCCAGTAGGTTCTGGTCTACTCCTGCAAAATGCCTAGAAGAACACGGTGCTGAATTAGTGCCAGTCATGCTGAAAACCAGCACTGAGTTCTAGTCTGTGCCGTTAAAGAATCCATTTAAGAACAGATTCAGAATTTACTCACTATAGAATGTTAGAATTACTTCAGAATTAGTGAGATTTAATTCAGCATTATAGGTATCTTAGCTTGGGTCACGATGACATGTCAACTACAAATATATATTTAAGTACCAGAAAAATTCCAAACATAATAGTAAATGTTGCAAGACTATATACAGTTAAATAAGACTAACTGAATTTGTGGACATTCTCTTATATTTAAAAAGGTGAAAATATGGCACGGTTGAGCTTGTGATGGTGGGTTGAGTTAAAAACACAGTTGAGTGTTCAGAAAGAACTAACTTAGCACCTACCTCTTTTTTATTTCCTATTCCTGTGGAGTGTACCATACGTTGTAGCCGAAAATAAATGAGTCTAAAGTGGAAAACAAGTATTCCCAAAGTTGCGCAAACACTCAACACTGGCGCTTTGAAGAATTGACATGACTTATCGCTTGTTCAATGTCCAATGACATCGTGTTTCTCCCCTAAAAAGCTAAAAAACAACTTGTTGGGTATGTATCAGACCAAAATTTCGAGAAGTACGTGTCAAAAACACCCACATGGATGAGTTCTATCCACAGAACGGTTAGCTAAGATTAACTACATTATTATACTCTAGGAACTATCTACTATAAGATCCAAGAATTGCTTTCAATTGGTTTCAGTGTATCAAATAAATTTCTTTGATCTTTGCTCATGGGTATAAATGAGTTATTGGTATCCTTGTGAATAAACATCAACCAGGAAAAGTCTATTCTACATTACGGGTTAAATAACCCACGTCTTCTCTAAAACGTTTCGTAGTTCACTATAAATACAGTTATTTAGAGGGCCTCTAAGGAAACCGCCAATCACTTTCGTTGAAAATGAAGCCACTTTATCTTATCTGTAGGTAGAGAATCCACTTTAATGTTACAGCAGGATTGCCACGAGGTACGTCTTTGCTGGCCGTCAAGAACATTGGAAAAATCTACAGTTTCGCGTGCTACATTGAGGTCTGGATTGTACCTTTCGTTCGAAAATCTTCAACTTTTGTCATCTGAGAGAATTTAGCTCCAGATAAAAGTGATCGGGCATATAGTTTTATCAGGAATATCTTTGTAGATATTGTGAAAGACAACCTAACAAAAAGTCTGCTATAGGTCATTAGAATCCCTTTGGATTTTTTGCTATCTTTGCAAGTGCAGTGTACATTCTCAGCTCACAGGAATGTGCTACAGTAATCTGACGATGTTACGAAACTAAAACTATGGAGTCGAATGTTCAACCAAGCAGAAGATGGGCTGCAACCAACTAAGAAGCAGCACGGATCAAGTAACTCATTTACAGACGGGATGTATTTAGGGAGGCAAGTATTTATGTTTCGTTTCTTACTAAAGGAGTTTTGTGCTCTACATCTTATAAATGGCACCTGCTTTATTCGGCATTCTAAAGAGAAACAAAACTGGTCGGATAACACAGGCCATTTCAACTTCAAAAATCATTGTGTAGTCAATTTGCGCCAACACTCTCCGTCCTTTTTACCACGTGGGTCCCTTAGCATTACGTATTGATGCAAATGACTGTTCTGGGACTGTTCTGTATCGAGAAGACGTGGATGGAAGAGGTTCGTATGCTTTGCGAGCCATGGACTCCACAAGAGTGGCAGGCGTAACTGCACCGGGTGTATTATTCAGATTTCTAAACACTTTGGGGCAAATCTTCTCTAGCGACGTTTCCTTGTATAGGTGGGTAACAACGCCCTGAATTAGCTGCGTCACTTCAAACAAACCCAGTGGTAGGTCTTTAGGTTTCAGAGACACTTACATATTCGGTGGCTGTGGTTTCCGAGGGGAAATTTCAAAATTACCGGCATCGATGCTGCTAAACTGAACCCACGAGTACTGGCTTAGTTGTGACTGTACTGCCCTCAACATTCAAAGTCCTGTTGTCGTTACACCAACAGTCAGTCAACTCAGGGCTTGGTTAGATGATAGAAGGACAGAATGATGCAGGAGTGTTACTGGTGGCCTTACCAGTGAAAGCATACTGTAGATTTCTGCGACTCCTGGGAGAAATGTCAACTACTAAGTTACAGCCCAAATAGCGTAAGTTACCCCCAGGAGCTGTTATGACTGGCAGTATAAACCACTTGACACATGGTGATTTAGCTGCTCATCTTCATGTGACACCTAAAAATAACATATATGAATTATTCATGCCAAGCCACTTCACCTAATGGTGTGAGGCTGTAGCTGTGTCCCAAAAGGATGCCATAACCATAAGCCTCAGGGGTACACTGCATAAGCTTCACTCTGCTTGAGGATAGAACTACGGTAGTAAAGTCAGCGAACTCTGCTTCATTATTCGTATTAGGAAAACACACATTACAACATACCACGAAAAAGAATTGCAGTAGATGAACACATCGGTCAGACGCTTTAGTCACTTTTATGGTCATTCGTACACTGAAACAATGACGAGTAGTTGGACAGATCCCTCTCACAGTGTCTGGTAGCACAAAAAGCGAAAATTCAACTAGTTGCACGTTAAACACTCCACAATGTGATTACTGGGCAAGGATTCAGGTCTCCAGCTGATCTGATTGCAAACAAAAGAGATACAGATGCACTGGTAACATTAACACACTCACACTTAGACCTAACCTCAAAAAGGCACAAAAAGTGATTAGGGGTTTACTCCAGTGACATCAGAGATATCAGGAGAGATATAATAAAAAGAGCAAATGGATCATTAGTGGGACTGGAAAGCAAGCTCATATTGACGAAGAGGATACTTTGCGGAGCAACAGTGCTTAAATTCCATAAACGATGGGCAGGATCATTTATCGCTTAGGGGAACTTGGTATCTGCACCTGTAGAATCCAGGAGACCAATTCCATTCACTTTTTAGCAACACACTCGGAAAGGCCGGAAGAGTTTCGATAGTGAACCCCGGTTCAGGATTGGTTTGTGGACACAGTAAGCTAATCCTCATGAAAATGTTCTTATATGAGAGGAGGATTATGCCAGGCAATACCTGATCCAATATCCAGTATCCTGATTACGAGCTAGTATAAACCAGTGATTTCTTTGAGCTCGCTTCTTGATTGTAAGGTAGAGGTTCCAGATCTTCGGTGAACTTATGAGTAGAAAATCCCGCCACTCGACTGCTTTAGCTCTGGTAGACTCCAAGAGGAGTGGTGCGAGGATTGGTCAAGATTGTGGTTTGTAGTGTGCAGTATGTTAGCACTCAGCTGCTGCCATGAATGGAGTATGACCTAACACCCGTTGGTCATTCGATGTAGTCATAAAAGTAGAATAATAATAGGTTGTAGTGTAGATAATATAGGTTGAGATAAGTGAAATAATAAAGGTGAAATAATAAAGAGAGAAAGAAAAGATAGAGTAGTCGGTACAGTGGGGATTTAGCTTGTATGCTTATCCATTGACAATATGGTTTCAAATTTTAAGAGGGTAAGCCATTGAGATACAAACCATGCATTTCTGCATGATTGTCCAGCTTCCGCTTAAAAGTCTCCACAGATGGCGCTGTAGTCACGGCCGCCGGTAAAGCGTTTCAGAGACGGCAAACTCGAAGCGAAAAGAAATGTGAACGCACTCGAGTCTTCGGTCTCTGGTGTGCTATCCTTAGCGGGTTACCTCGTGGAAGCCTATAATCACTTAATGGCAGGATGCTCTTATTAGGGTGGGCCTGGTCATTTAAGATCTTATAGACAGTGATGAGGTCTCCCCTGTGACTACGGTAACTAAGTGTGAAAAGACTTAATTTCTTCAGTCTTTCCTCAAATGATTTATTGCGGAGGCCGATCACCCATTTTGTCGCTCGTCTCTGGACACTTTCTGGAATGGTAGCATCCCTTTTGAGTAGCGGAGGAGCAATGATATTATGCACCTCAAGGAGTGGCTTCACGTATGTCGTATACAACGTTAAGAATAGTTCAGGAGTAAGAGCTCCCAGCTGCCTATGCATAAAGTGTAAAGTAGCGTAAGCTTTGGCGACGTCCCTCGTGTAATTTACACTGGTGTCTAGCTTTTCTGTTAAAATAAGACCTAGGTCGCGTTCTGATGGCACACAACTCAAGTTCTGGCCACCAAGTGTGTAATTTGCACTCTGCGACCTGCCGGAATGAAGTTGCACTACTTTGCACTTCTTTAAGTTGAAAGGCATTCCGTTAGCCAAAGCCCAGTCTCCCAGAGTTTGCAGGTCAACCTGCAATCTGTCGGACTCTTTTGATGGGTTTATTGCTCTCCAAATCTTTACGTCGTCAGCGTAAAGAAGCGCAGAGCAATTCAGTTGACAGGGCAGGTCGTTGATAAAAATCAAAAACATCAACGGCCCTAAGATAGAACCCTGAGGAACCCCTGATGCCGAGGTGTGCCAGGATGATCGGATGCGGTTGACTTTGGTGCAGAATTCTCTCTCGCCTAAATAATCTTCCAGGCATGCGAGAAGTGCTCCAGAAACACCCGCTTTGCTTATTTTGTGAAGGAGCAGATCATGGTGAACTGTGTCGAATGCTTTCGCAAAGTCGAGAAAGATCACATGGACTTGTACATTTACATCCCAGGATAGTGTCCAATCGTTCCAAGCTAGTAGAAGATTCGTCACACAGGATACCTACAACTTCTACAGTATCCGTTCCGCGAAGACCAAAAGCAAAGAAAAACACCAGAATTGATGGTCCAAATTACGAAGCATATTTCAGGACCAAATTGGAATGCGAGATGATTGCTAAGCTAGCTAGGGATCGTGCATGAACAAACGAACGTAACACGACGGCGTGCCAAATGGCGTGGATGCTTGACTGTAAGCCTTCAACTAGACAAATCGACTAAAACAGTGAGGGTCAGAATCCAATGTTGAGTGATGAATGCTATGGCTAATGGTTCCAGAGAATTACCTACTGCTACACTACTATTTTTCGATCAAAACATTATCGGACTGATCACCACCAATGCTCTTTTAGGATAATCAAGCATAAGTCTTATCGTTTCAAACATTATCTGCATTATTTTAAAAGATAAATGATACACTGCATACAGAACTCCGCGAGTCGGAACAAGTTGTATTTAGAAAAGGCGAATAATGTGTTGATCAAATAATAACTCTATATATGGTATCGAAAAAGAATAGAATGGTGGTAAAACCTGTACCTTAACTTCATCGACTCCAAAACTGCCTTCACTGACAGCGTCGACCAAGAAGTAATTCGGAAACTACTTCAGTACCCCAAATCTTTATCAACCTCATTCAACAGCTGGTTAGGTATGTGATAATGCCTGCCACGTGTCAGGTGGTCCACAACGGAAAACTCAGCGAGGTGTTTGAAGTGAAGACAAGAGTGA